GATTCAATGTTATAATTTTCGTATTAATTAGTTGAACCCCACTGCCAATCAATGAAGTTGACATGGCATTATTCTTCAAGTTAATGAATATATCCATTTAAAAATTATCTCCTTCCAAGAAATACAAAAAGTTAGCAATTCTAAGCATGTAGTAATCATAACAAGATTGAAGTTAGTTTGACATTCAAACTGACCATTCAACAAGAAGTATTTTTCTCCTTAAAATTCTCAAGATGGAAGCATATGGAAAGAAGGTGGTATTTTCAATTTCAAGGTATTTGTCTTTGGGTTCTTCCTAGGAACTGATTCATTTTCATATAAATATAAATGACCGTCCGGTGCATTAAGCTTTCGTTATGCATGGGATCCGGGAAAGAGTCAAATCACAAGGGTCTATTGTACGCAGCATTATCCTGTATTTCTGCAAGAAGTTGTTTCCACGGCTTGAATCTGTGACCTCCTGGTCACATGGGAATAACTTTATCAGTTACACCAAGGCTCCTCTTCCCATTTTCATATAAATATTTATTTTTTTGAATATCATGGTGTCTTGATCAGGCTACGGACATCTCGACTAGTTATATGAGAGTCTAATATACCTCCCACCAACATACGTATCGAATAATTTTGTCGATCAAAATTTAGACAAATAAAAAAATCACTTAATATTATCTAAACCTGAAACCTTATGATTCTCGACAACCCGACCATTTTCATATAAATATTGGTTTGCTCAATATTTACGTGATCCTACAGCAGAGGTGGTTAAAACTCATCATGGTGTACAAAAGTGTTTCTATTTTTGTTAAATAATTAATCAATCTGGAGTCTCTTGACCATGCTTAGCTGTTTTGCTCAGTCAAAACTCTTGCATTTTACTACAGTATTAATTAATTTAACTCATCTTTGTCTTTATCTATGCTAAAGGTATTTCTATGTGTTGTTTACTTAATATAGATAACATTATCTCACCTGTGGTCTTTGTGAGTGAGTGTGCAATCTGACAATATACGATACTTTCGGTTATACATTAGGAATTCTAATGATTTATTTTACCCGAATACATTTCATTTTGACGGTTCTAGAAATAATGGAAAATAGTTCTCGCATTCACGCAGGATTTAAGGAAGAGCCGTATCCCAAGAGGTGAGATGTAGACATTTATTCTAATGCAAACATTAGTGACTACTTCTGCAAATCGGACACGTGACCTATATATCACACTAAGACAACTTTATCGTTGCTGCAAGACGCAGTGAAGAAAAATTGTCTGGTCCATTGTTAATCGTTTTAAGAAATTGAATTCACTTTAATATTTGACGTTTTAATATCAAAATTCATTTTAAATGTTCCAATTAATTGAATATTGATTAATTAAATTATCTAAGAGAGACAAAAAATAATTTGGACAAATACTCTCGTAATTCAATTTGTTAGATGTTTTTTAAGAAGTATAAAGATTTAAAAGACAAATAATATGCCGGGATAATAAAGTAGTAATACCTTCTTTGTTGGATTATTTTAGATGGACAGATCGTCAATCGTTTACGATCATTTTCTCCGACAACAACAACAATATACCCAGTATTATCTTACACTGTGTGGACTAGGGAGGGTAGTGTATACGCAGACCTTACCCTTACGAACCTTGTGAGGATAGAGATGTTGTTTCCAATAGACCATTGGCTCAGGAAAGCATAAGCACCACATTAATGAAAATATAGACAAGAAGGGACAGTACTAAAAAGCCATATAAAAGCAAAATAAAAACAACAAGATAGTAAAGTAATAAACAACGAAAGAAAATAACGGTTAGTCATAAAAACCTACTACCCACAGAAAACGAGATTGTATGCCAATACTATTGTTATGAACACTCTAGACTACCTATTCTATTACGTACCATAATCCTCGACCTCCATACCTTTCTATCAAGGGTCATGTCCTCTGTCAGCTGAAGCTGCGCCATGTCTTGCCTAATCACCTCTCCCCACCTCTTCTTTGGCCTACCTCTACCACTCTGTAAGCCCTCCAATGTCAACCTCTCACACCTCCTCATCGGGGCGTCTATGCTCCTCCTCCTCACATGACCAAACCACCTAAGCCGCACTTCCGACATCTTTTCCTCAATTGGGGTCACACCCGCCTTGTCACATATCGTACCCGCGTCAGTTACCAATATTTCTTCTTGATCATTTTCTCCATTTCACCTTAATTCTTTTATGTTTGTTTAGCCTAAGTAAAGGCTGCAAAATCAAGAGAGGAAGATTTATGTTTGACCATAATTAAATTCTTGATGAACCAAATATCTATAGATTTAAATTCTATGAATTTTGTGTCAATACTAAAGTTTTTGGTAAAAGGCAACACGTGTGACGAATACAGTCATCTGAGAACATGAACAGAAGGAAAGGAACAATCCAAGGCATCATAATGCCACTTGCCAATATAACACTTATATTTAGGAGGAAAAAAAATATAACACTTATAAAAATTTCATTCACATGACATTCCCAAGGTTTCTTCTACTTCAGATATCCTTACCTTTTCTTTATACATTAGTCGTCAGTGTTGTAAATGAGAAAACCAAGATGTTGACCAGTCATACTCACTCTTTTCCATCTCTTATTTTCCATAATATTTATTACTTATTTTTTTATTTTTCCATAAAAAAATCATTACTCAGTATAAGTTATCTCTGTGTGACTTATAGGTCACTAACTCAAGCTGTAGAAGCAGCATGCTTGTATTAGGGTAATTATTTATATCACGCCCCTTGGGGTGGGGCATTCCCCCGGACCCTGCTTAAATACGAAATATTTTTGCATCGCGCAGCCATTTTTAAGCATTAGACATTTTAATAGTTTATAAATAGCATATTAGTGTAAGTTAGAGCAATTGAATTGCTTATAAAATATTATTGCACCATTTTCCAAATTACTGTGTATATTAGACACATTCTAAAAAAGTTGAGTATGTAAACTGATTTTCGCAATGAAAAGATATATCACAGAAATTTGGTCCATAATTCCGGGAATAACTTATGTATGTTACCTTAGGTTTAATTTTTTTTTTTTTTTTTTGGGGGTTCAAGATCAACTTTTGATCTGCTCCAACAAATAAGTGCAAATATATTTTGAACAATTACCAAATTCCTAAAGGATTTTCCAATATTTATTCTCTTATTACTTATTAGTTTATGACACAACCGACAATCTAAAGATAAAATAGAACCTTAAACAAAAATAAATCACATTAATCTCAGTTGTAGTGTTCTCTCTTCCCCCAACAAATCTGGGGCAACCAAAGGGGATATATAGGGGGGATGAAACAATGTTCAAGTTGTGACCTTAATTTAAAAAATTAAAAATTATGAAGAATCAATAATACATTTTTTGTTCTTAATTACTTAGCAATGGTAAAGGTGATAATGCCTTTAGTTGCTTTTTCAAAAAAATTCAGATTTTCTACTTGTGTTATTTAGAAACTGAAAGAAATTAAGAACCGGATTAAGTTAAAATATAAAAAATTAAAAAAAAAAAAAAAAAACACACACACACACACAAAGAAAGAGATACACCGTTTATTCCGTTTTCTTTCATTTAAAACATAGGTGATTAAGACTCATATCCTACCTTGGCTACCTATCAAATAAAAAAGATTTATTAAATTCGTATAAATACTTAATAGTACGAATTAAGGAGAAATAAAAAGGATTTATTAAATAATAGTTGTAGACTTGTAGTAGTAAAGAGTAATTGACCACCAAAGGATGTGGTGCAGTGGATGGGACTGCTCTTCCCTTAACCAGAGGTCTCGAGTTCGAGCCCTGAGTATGGAAAAATCCTTGGTAGGGAGCGCTTCCCCCCGAAAGGGGCCCTACACGACGCGAATCCGGATATAGTCGGGCTCCAATGCAGGTACCGGACACGGGGTGGGAAACAAAAAAAAGAGTAATTGGCCAAAAGAAAAGTTGGAAAAAAAAATGAAAATATATTTTATTCAAGGTGAGTTGAAATGATGACACGTAGCTATATGGTCAAACGAAACGGATGTGGGCCAAAGCTCTTGGCCCAATATTGCCAATTCAGATCCCCAAACAGTACAAAAAAGAGGTAATCATTACAAGAAAACAGGCAAACGACGTCGCAGTTCGTTAGATGTTACGGCGTCGTTTATGCGTTTCTTGAATATTCTTTTCTTTGGTTACAAAAATTGGCAACAATTTATGATGTAGACATAGCGAAGTATATTAGTAGTCGTTTGGACATAAGAATTGTAAAATTCGAAAAAATTATGAAAAAATTTTTTAAGTGAAAATGGTATTTGAAATTTAGAGTTGTGTTTGGACATAAATTTCAGTTTGGATTATTTTTGAAGTTTTGTGAGTGATTTGAGTAAAAAATTGAAAAACAACTTTTTGCAGTTTTTTAAATTTTCGAAAATATTCAAAATGCATAGTGAAAATTAAAAATTTTATGAACAAACGCTGATTTCGAAAAAAGTGAAATTTTTTTGAAAAAATCTTCCATCAAATTTTATGTCCAAACGGACACTAATCAAGGGATATAGTAGGATTCTTGTGATTCTTCCACTCTTAATCAGAGTTTCGAGTTCGAATTTTGTGAATAATAAATTAGTGGACGAAAAGAGGCAGTAACAACAGTTAAATAATAAAATGGCCAAAATGATTTTGATAACAAGTAGTAATGGAGATCCATTTTGAACTAACACAATGCACCATTATTAACAAAAATGAAGAGCACAAGGCCTTTTTTTGGAATTTTATTCCATAACACCTCATCTACATGGTTACTCCAAGAAATAAGCATATGGAGGGCCATTAAAATACATCAAAATTTCACTACAAAATAGAAATAATAAAACAATACCACCATCTAATATCCTCCACTAATTATACTACTTAATCCTCAATCCTTTTTAGTCCCCCCCCCCCCCCCCCCAATCCCTTTTCATTCTATATTTTTTTCATTTGAAATTAAAATAATAACCCAAAAATGGTAAAATAAAATAAAATAAAAGACAGCCCGATTCACTAAGCTCCCGCTATGCGCATGATTTGAAATAACCAGACCACAAGGGTTTATTGTACGCAGCTTTACCTTGCAATTCTACCGGAAGCTATTTCCGCCGCTCGAACCCTTGACCTCGTCGTCACATAAAATAAAATAAAACTCCACCCTTCTCCTCAACCTCCTATTACTATGGTTGTTGACAACTCAGGATTATTATTAACAGCTGGTGACAATTCTTTTCATGCTAAAAGCATGGGACCTCCCCTTTCTCCCTCCTATTTTTCCACCCTTTCCTCTCTTTTTCTCAATGTTTTTGTCTGTAAGTGACTTTTAAAAGCCATAATAAATCTTCCATTTAGCCAAAATTCATTGAACTTTGGGGGTGAGTGAAGCTCTAAAAACTAAAAGAAAGACTAAAAAAATTAAGATTTCATGACTTGTTTTTTCTCTAGTCCACTCAAGAAATGGATGATGTAGTGTCAAGTTTCCTCCTTTTAGCATCTGGACTATTACTGTGTGATGAATTTGGACATGAGCCAACTGTTCCTTCACCACTTTTATAGCTCAAACATGCAGCTTCTAACACCCCATTTGGGCTTTGAGGTACTGATGTACCTACTGCAGTAGTGGTAACACTAGTCCCACTAACCAATGTCAAATCTTGAATCAACTCAAGACACTTCATCACTCTGTCCTGTAAAATCACAGAAAATTAAAAAAATGAAACCCCACATAAAGTAAATAAATAAAACCAAGTTGGTGTAATTTTTAATGCATCAAGAATCAAGGGATTTTTTTATTTTATTTGTTGTGATAATCAAGAAATCCGGGGAAGGGGAGCCTTGGTGTAACTAGTAAAGATGTTGTCATGTGACAAGGAGGTCACGGTTTCGAATCGTGGAAACAGCCTCTTGTAGATATGCAGGGTAAGGCTGCGTACAATAGACCTCAATGATCCAGCCCTTCCCCGAACCCCGCGCATATCGGAAGCTTAGTGCACCGAACAGCCCTTTTTGTTTAATCAAGAAATCCCGAAGAGCTACGGCGCACGGTTCGAAACACCATGGATAATGATATTGACTCTTTTCCATTTTCCACTTAAATACTAGTGGCTTTAGTGTGATGTTGCGTCCGAACATGTTACGTGCACCTAACTTATGCATCACGCGTTGTACTCTTACCACTAGACCAAAAACGGGGTAGGGAGGCAAGAATCAAGAATTTTATATAGTGGAGCACCAACCAAAATCTTTCACCTTTTCTACTTGTTTGGAGAAGCAAGGCATTGCCTTATCAATGTCTTTTGCTTGTGGCCTTTCCCCTAAAGAAACAGACATTGCCACTGCTGCAGCAATTTCAGAAGGCCTGAATTCCAAGAAGTCAATACCTGCATTCAATTTTCCCAACCAAAGACTGAATCAAACACTTAAATGATTTTAAGGACCAAAAAATGGTACAATGTGAATTCAATTCCAACAATTATCCAAAAAGATTCAAAAGAGTAGTGAGAGTAAACACCTTTTATTGTGTTTAATATTAGTTGCATTGATCTAGAAATCAATTGCTTTGATTGGATTTCATCAAGATTCATCTTTCTCATAAAATAATCAATGAATTTGCAAGGTGTATAAGCCTGCATTCTCCATTTCAATGTGCTCAATACCAAAAGTTCCATTCTTTGTATTGTTTTACCTTCAAATAAAAACTTAGGCTCCTCAACCTGTCCAAAAAAAAACTCAAGATTTACTACAAACACTCTAATTTAATAGAACTAAGAGGAGCCTTGGCGTAACCGGTAAAGTTGCTGCCATGGTGTGACCAAGAGATCACAGGTTTGAGCCGTGGAAACAGACTCTTGCAGAAATGCAGGTAAGCTGCGTACAATAGACCCTTGTGGTCCGACCCTTCCCGGACACCGCGCATAGCGGAAGCTTAGTGCACCGGGCTGCCTCTACTCTAATTCAAGAAAGTTTAATCAGATAAATATTAACAAAACAAGTTCTTGAATGCATATTTTTGTTCACCTGTAAATCAACAGTTAAGGGAACATTGATCTCTTCCATTTTAACTGCAAGGGATAAACAAGCAACAGCTAACAATTGAATTGTCCAAGTTTTACCTCTCTGTAAATCCAAGGTAAAAAAAAACAATTTAGCAGAATGTAGAAAACCAACCAATAGTGAAAAGTTCAAACATAAGGAAACAAAGTGTAAGACAAATTATGTAAAGTGGACTTACTGGCAATTCATACAATGACAGAAACCTATCAAGGTAATTTATTGACAAACAAAAACTCAGCTCTCCAAATCCATAATGCACATGAGCCTGCAACACAAAAAAAACAAAAAACAAAATTAATAATAATAATTCAGAAAAATCACAATAAAAGGTGTACATAAACATCGAAAAGTTTCATTTTACTCTTGTTTGTTAAAATCAGTCAATGTATGCCTAATTATGTCTCACTAATCAATGTCATTTTCAAGTAAAATCCTAAAAAAATACAAGAACCAAGAAAATGACATCAGATATAAAATAAAAAATAAAAATAAAAAAAAAACTCCATTTTCAGGAAAAAAACTAGGAACTCAATGAGAAAACTAGAATTTACCAGAAAAGGATAAAACAATAAGATGGTATTAATGCAAACATAGAGTTGATTAAAATGGAATATAAAGTCCTAAACTTTCAAACTTTTTCCTAATGAGCAATCAAGAATTAACATAAAATTACACCAACATAACATCCAGTAAAATGCTACAAGTGGGGTCTAAGTTTCCGAAAGACTTTGGCTTAAAAAAAACGAAAAAGACGAAAAGAGGGACAATATATTAGTACCATCAAAACAATTAACATAAAATTATGATCAACAAAAAGAAAAAAAAATGCCAATAATAACCTTCCAAATCCAATTAAGAGCTTCTCTTCTAACATTCAAATCCAAGTCACCAATTCTCAATCTCTTAAGATAATCATCTTTAGGACAAAAATCTTTTTCCCTTTTCAACATAAAACCAAAGCTTTCATCACTTAAACTTGGCAATAAATCAATCAACAATGTCTCTGATTTGCCATTGTTATTAAAGCTCAAAACTTTGTTGTTTTCTTGAACTCTTTTTTGGTCAAAATCAAGATCATCAAAGTAAAGACTACTCTTAGTTTCTGTACAAAAAAGTAGGTTTGAGGCTACACAGTCATTATTGCTGTTTTCAGCCATTAATTGAAAACAAAGCAGAAAAAAAACACAGCCTTGCTATTAAAACCCTTCAATCAAAATCCCATCTTTACAAGATTGAATTTTTTTTAAAGAGGAAATGATTTCTAGAGTTTTTTGCAGTAAATATTAGTAGCAATTTTTTTTCATTTTGGGGTTTTAATAGAAACAGAGAGAAAAGAGGAAGAAGGAGAGTGTAGAGAGTAATGTGGGGTCTGGAGACTATTCAGAAGAAGAGAAGAAGGTTTTATGTAGGAAATGGACATTTGTGTTTAGGTTAAAGGAGAGATTTTGGGGAGAGAAGCCTATGGAATTGTGGATTCTATACCACTTAACATAAACAAACACAAAAAGGAATATATATATATATATATATATATATATATAGTACTCTCTGCGTTCGTGCATGCACGAATATCTTATGTCAAATATTATGAAACGCTTACAAAAATAATAAACTTTCAATTGCATAATATTCTAAAACTAATTGCAATTGAATATGTACGAAATTCAATATGTACAAAGTTTAATAAAATGTTTCCTTAGAACAAAAAATATATAATATACAATCCAAATGAACAAATTAATAATGTTTTGGCACAATGAAAGAACAAAATAGAACTAAATATTATGAAATTATACAATTATGCAATTAAAGTTGTAAAATCGCTTAAAGAATATAACTATACTTAATATTATTTTTCTGATTCAATAATTTTCTTCGATTTAATTAAGCTTTAACGATTCAGATACATGAAAATGATATTCACTCAAGATACATTAGTAACAAAGAAACCATAAATAGAAAGCGCATTTAGTCATTCATACCTTCTCTTGGCATTTTTTTTGTGTTGCGCGTTATCCTATATCAATTATTACAAAAGTCATATTTAATAAAATATGAATTCGTAACTATACAAATATTTAAAAGAAAATTATATTATTACCGCCAAAAAATACTTTAACTTTAATCCTGATCAATCCCATCTCTAAATTCAACTCAAATTCCGATTATGTCTAGTTAAAAAGCACGTGAATTTTANAATTGAACGTGCTAAGTTCGCCGGTGTTATGATCTTCTACGATTCGCCTTTGGGGTAAGATATTGTGAAGTAGTATTGAAGATGCGGCTGTTAAATAAATCACTTTCCAAGAATGAATGAAATTTATGAAGTTTCTTACACAATAAAAAGGTAAAAAAGAGTTCTTAAAATTCCTTAGTAAATAAGAAAGAAAGAAAGCACTCCAAGTAGGAATCTCCAATTCTAATCCAAAATTACGTATTTGTTGTAATTAGGAACAATAATTTTTTTTAAAGAAAATTATGAGCATGCTTTTCTAGTCCAAGTAGGATCAACTTTGTAGGATCGGTGTATGTGTAGTTTAAATTGGAAAAGAATTCCGTCATTTGATAATTTATAGTTAGATCCTTAAGTTATACAAATACTTAAGGGCATAAAAGTCGATCAATATTTTAAGGATATTTTAGTCGTTCAACATTTAGCATAAATTATTCGTGCTTTTATAATATATATATATATATATATATATATATATATATAACAAGGATTTTAGTTATATAAAGGGTAGTCTCATATTAATAGTCGTGGTTACTAAAAATAGTTGTTTCAAATTATTTGTCATTTAAAAAGTTCAAGACAAAATTAATTATTTTTTTCCGTTTTTACCCTTAGTAATAATTGTTCTTGAAGATGGAGATAACACATAAATATTCAATAAAGAGAGATTATATCTTATGACATAAATAAGGGTAGAATAGTCCAATCTCTTTCCTAATTAATATTTGTTAAAGGAAATATAAAAGAGAAATACGATACATAATATGAGACTGAGGGATTACTTACTACAGGAGGAGTTTACTTTAATCAATGACAGGATATTTAATTTTCATTTTTATTGTATTACTTAGTGCTTATGAAAAAAAAATTCAACTTATGCAGAATTTACATGTAATTATTTAATAAGTAATTTAATTATATAAATATAATTATAGTAATAGTGCATAGAGCTTTAACTTTATATAAATAATAATTTTTTTTATAGGATTTAGGTTGCATTTTCCAATTTCTTATAAGAGCACAAATTAATATTTTGGTTTTTATGAAGGAATTCTTGATTTGTTTTGTTTGTGAGTAAGATGTAGTTATTAGTATTGTTTAAGAAAGGAAAAAAAAAAAAATGAGGGAATTGATAAATGGCACTCCTAATTTTATGTTGGGAACACATCTTTAGGTGGGACAGTCAAAATAGTGAGTCATAGGGGAATTGACCAGAGTTGAATGAGCTAAGTGATGATGTAATAAATAATTTTACATTGAATAATAATTGCAATACTAATTATGGTTTAATTTCAAGCAAGTTCAAATTGACTATATGAATATTCACTATTCATATAGCTATATTTAAATCCATTAGATACAACAACTTATTTTCTAACCTTTTATATGTGTAAACCTTACATCGTATATTCTTTTATCCTTAATTGCAAAGCAATATTTCTGTTTGTACCAATATTAGTCTTTATAATCTTTCTTTGTATTTTAAATCAAATGAAACAAAAAAAATAATGCTACTGACTAGTAAGGATGAAAATTACTTGAAATCATGCTTATTCTTTTTCTTTTATTTTCCTTGAAAAGTTGTTGAAATTTCTTTCCAGAATTAGGGAGTTCTTCAAGATAAGTGATACATTTTTTTTTACTGGAAAGAAATAAGAAAATGTATGAAATTCTTTAGATATATTTATGTGTGTTATTATGGTTATAACGACCTAGGTAGGGATATTATCCTAGAATCTAGAGGAAAACTTATACTGAAAATCTCAAATTTCTCTACAATATATCGTCTTATCCTAAAAAATTATCGAATACTTACATCGAATCATTAATTTAACCTTAAACACATATTATTTACATTCATAGGTTGGGTGCAAAATTTTTCATTTTTACCCTTTTTCACTTTTTTCTTGAAACTACAATAAATATTTTACATTCCAATTATGCCCCTACTGGTGACAACTTTAAATTTGTCAATACGGGCAGATGTAGAAGTCGCGCTACGGGTTCGCCCGAACCCAATAACTTTTGCTCAAATAATATATTTGCATTAAAAAAATTATTAAATATGTACAAATATTACATTTAGAACTTAGTTAATAGTTCTCGTTCTAGAATTCAAAATCCATAAGGTTAAAATTCCAGCTGCGCCTCCAATCGAGCTTACCTTTGTTTTAGTTTCATGCAATCCATTTTTAGCGATCACATATAATCAGTAGTAATGTAACTACTAAGATTACCGTTCAATGAGGTTATATTGCATTTAATTTAGAACGATTAATTAAGAATATCTAACCAAACAAGCAAACTTTTATTGCAATGCTATTGCAATCTTTAAATACATCTTGTACAATGACTCAAAAAATCAATGTGTTTCCTATGATAAATTTGATAAAATTGGTAATGTCTTTTTTGGTACATATGAAGTAGGTGGTAGATGTATTCTTCTCAAGTTCTCTAAGAAAATACGAGTTAGTGATAAACATTAAATATTTTAACAAATTTCATCGTTATGTCCCTTTTTTGATTTATTTTTCAATTGTTACACAAATATGAAAAAGAATATTGAGGTTCAAATAATGATATACATGGAAATAACTAAAACGCCACACTGAAAATAATATCAAAGTAACAATAGAGTGTATAATATTTCTCTACTTTTGTATAGAGAATATCGTTATATTTTCTAAAATTATCTTTAGTAGCGAATAGCCGGCCATATTCATTGTTTATTTTTTCTAGTCATATAAATAGTTTATACATTGATTATACATAATTATACACACTAGTTTTTGTTAGTAAATTGTATTTGTAAAATAATTCTGGAAAAAATAAGTTAACATATAAACAGAAATATAAACGAAATAGAAGTTAATTCGAGCCCGCTGAATTCACAGTGTTTCCTTAAGGAATTTAACCCCCTCCTAGTACCCAAGGTTGTGGATTATTTCCTCCCAGGATAGAACGAATTACACACTAGTGTAGTGGTACTTCAAACCCCAGTGTTTCACACCGAACACAAAGTTCGCTAGCAAATCACACTTACTATTGCTTTCTTTGAAGTTAAAACAATGCAGAAGAAAGGAGGAGAACTCAGAAAAATAGTATGAAAAATCTGAGAGAATTGACTGGTATTTATAGCCAATGTTGAGCTCAAAACTGAAGAGGTGCAACTCTTTAGAATGGTTGTTTATGTAAAACGGCCATAACATAAATACCATAACATAAATGGCTAATTTATGCAACAATAAACCGGGAATTGAAGAGGGAGGTTAATTTCGGTTACAAAACCGAAAAATTAAAAACGGATAACGGAAATAAAACGTTTAATATTTCCGTTGGATTTAATATTAATATTCCGTTGGATTTTAGTTAATATTTGCTATTAACAAATAAATTTGATCCAAAAAATTAATCAATCAATCATTTGACCGAAGCCGAAGCCGAAGCCGAAGCCGAAGCCGAGCCGAGCCGAGCCGAGCGAGCGACGACGACGACGGCGCGAGGCTTGCCTTCTTCTTAACTCTTTAAGAGCTAGAAGAAGTGCAATTGTATATATACCCATCAAAAACCTTTTCCTCTTCCAATATGGGACAATGTGTCATTGTCAAGGGAGGAAAACTTAAAATTTCACTTAATATTTTTTTTTTCCCACCATTTTCCATTTATTCCTCTTTTAAGCCTATTTAGCTTAAAACCTCAACAATCCCCCACATGAATGGGAATGGCTATATCACGGAAATATGCATGAAAAACTGTGTGATTCGCAAGCAAGGATTAATTGTATCTGGATAAGTAGGTTTCCCTTTGGACTTTCCGTAGTGAACTTATGTCGGATATACTCGGTCAATCGGTAGATTTTTGAACCGTCGAACTTTGGTGTATACCTAGACAACCATAAGTCACACAATCAACCCTTAACCATCTTTGGTTCTCATTGTTGTGTTTGTTTCAGCCATGAACACCGCCTGGTTTCATAAGTGCGTAGAGAACTGGCCTTACAAAATTCTCCTTGAAGCGGCTAACACTTCACACTTACATATGTGATTTCTAAATGTGTCATCCCGTAGATACACTATTTGATATACCTCGTATCAAATTTAGAAATCATTAAAAAGCCTTAATGTTTTATCCTTGGTACTTAACATTGTCTCATCACGAGAATGGACAAAAATTGTAGTTGACAATGTTGAACCGTCATTAATGACTTTGTTTGATCTCCTTGAACCTAGATCCTGGGATCTCCAGT